TATGGTGGGTTGGCCGACGGGTTTGGGGGTTTGGGTGTGAATTTTTTTGATTTTTTTTTTTAATTAAAGGGTAATTTAGTATTTTAGGGGTGCGGTACGTAGTAAAATGGGTGCGGTATTTAGCAATTCAGTTAGAAATTTGGACAATAGTAGCTAGTGTTTAGGTTACCAGCTCTAAATAATTATTCTTATCTTATTATCCAACAAGCCCTATTATGTGAGACCGTGAGAGTGATGATGACTTTTCATCCAACTTCTAAGAGCACCCACAATGTTTTGGGTCTCTTAACAAAAAATCACAGGTCACATGGGAAATAGACTTAGTATATAAAAAAATACTTCCAAATGTAATTAAAAGTGGACATGGTCTAGCTTATGTGACAATGAAAAAAGAGACCAAGTCCACACTTGGGTCTATTTTGGACCCAAGTACAAACCCAAACACTCATCATTTGTTTTTAATTTAATTTTTTTTTTTTAATGAATAAAATATATTAGAACATTTCTATTGGTTGACATGTATGTTAGACCTAGTCTTTTTATTTTTGCATTGCAAAGTTTTTGAGTTTTTTTACTTGGGTTTGTCCATGTCATTTAAAACTCAAGTTCAATTATATGCCACATATACAAAAAGAGACCCAAAGCATTGTGGATGTTCTAAAGGCCCGTTTACTTATCATGATAGGATGTGACATTCTTTAACCAATTTTATCCATTGTTTACTAGCAAAGATGTGTCGTGTAGGTAGCAGGTGGACACACGCATGTATCTATGAATAGCAGGATAATTTTATCACTATCTTGAGGATGTGGTATTTTTATCGTGACACAAAAATGACATTTAGGTCCAAAACACTACATATATAATATCCATTATACCTTGAATATCGAAATAATTATAGATTTAATAAGCTAACTCATGGGATAAAAAATGACTCGTGGAATTAAACCATCCCATCCCATCACTTCAACTAATAAGCTGACTCATGGGACAAAAACTGATTCACGGTGAATAAAATAAAACACATAATAATGAAATAAATCATGACGTTGTAATATTAATTTGTTAAAGAAAAATGAGAAACTTACAGGGACATGGGAGTCTCTTGCACTTCTCTTGGGGTCAGTTGCAGAGAAAACAGTGTACACCAAAACAAATGTACCAATAATCTCAGCACCCAACCCCACGCCTTTGTTGTACCCATGTGCTACCACGTTGGCCCCACCACCGTATGTATTGTAATACGTCTTCTGGAAGGCCTTCACGAAGCCCACACCACATATTGCCCCCAGACACTGGGCCACCATGTACAGCACGGCCCTTATCAACGACACTTTACGGCCCAAAAACAGCCCAAACGTCACCGCCGGGTTTATGTGCCCTCCTGATTATTTATTTATTACCATCAAATCAAATCAAAATCAAATCGATTTTGTTATATTATAAAAACTTCACTAATCCACTAACCGGAGATCCCGGCGGTGCAGTAAACAAGGATGAAAATCATGCCGCCGAAGGCCCAGGCGATGCCGAGTATTCCGACGCCGCCGCACTGGTCGCCGCCGCGTGCGGTGTCGGTCTGGTGGCTGTAGCCGATGACGGTGAGGACGGTGACGTAGAGGAAGAGGAGCGTGGCGATGAACTCGGCGATTAGCGCCCTGTAGAACGACCACTTGGTCAGCTCGTCAAAGTCGAAAAGCGGCACCGGCGGCGGATCATGATAGTCCTTCGCCGAAAACTCTGCCGCCGCCGGCTCCGTGTACTCAACGTCCTTCGCCATTTTAATATTTTATTTTAATTAATGGGAGACGATTGATTGATTGCAGTGAGTAAGGAGAGAGAAGATAGTGGAGTGAGGAAAGGGGATTTGGAGGGGCGCTATTTATTGTTGGCATATTAGTTGGGTTAGTAATTTTTATTATTTAGTTTCTGATTTTTTAATGTTTAATTATAGCCGACCACACCTGTTCAATTTGATTAGTGATTAATTTAATTAGATAATGAAAATACTTATTAACACGAAAGCCGACCAAATACCATTTTATGGCTGATTTCTTTCGCCTGCACGGCCCACCCTCCTTATCCTCATTATCACCGGGATACATTTATTGCCACCTTTTTTTTTTTGAAAAATAAAATAAAATTATTCAGGTAATAATAATACCGTATTATGAGCACTAATCATAGTTTTTCACTCCAGACCCTAAATCAGCAGGTCGACCCGAGACCCACTCGACTCAGAGCCTGAAAGAGTTCGGGTGGACTATTCGGATCGGACAACAAAGGACCAGGTCAAACTTGGTCAATACCAGGCCAACTGGGCCTTAACCCGGTTGACCCGGGGCATTGATACATGTTGACTCGGCCCCTATATATTTTTTTATTATATTATTTAAATATTTTTTGTTTTTTAAAAATAAAACTACGTATATATATTTATATGGTAATATTTATTATATACATATTATTCACACTTTAATGAACAAATTTTATATATAAAATATTTAATTTTGTTATTTTTATGTTTATTATATATAAAATAATCTTTGTATAATATTAACAAAAATTAAAATTACTTATCCAGTTCATCAATTGACCCTGTGAACCGACCGGTTGAACTTGTGACCCGGTGACCCCGAGACATGCCCGGGTCGATTTCCGGGGCGGGTTTAAAAACTATGAACCAGTGAACACTATTATTATTAGTGTTACTAATAATAATCGTGTTCTAAAAAAAAGTTAGTCCTTTAATAACAAATTCATATTTTACTCTTTTTAATTTTTAAAAATTATATTTGATATATAATGTTTAATTTTATTAGAATTGAAGTTTTATTTACACGTGGTTTGGTCGATATGAATATTCTTTTATTTCAAATAAATGCATATGTGTCCAAAACTAATCTATATCTATATAATTATTAGCGATCCATTGATTAAAATCTTATAAATTTTATCTCATAAATTATACCTACGTGGCACATAATTTTCCAAAACTTGATTTTGTTAATTAAGACAAAAATTATTACATTTTATATTAATTAATTAATAATTATATAACTCTTTTGTATCATATAATAGTTATAATTAGAATTAATAATTATATTTTATACTAAATGACATATGAAAGTTACATTAACATAAGAAATTATATTGTAAAACTTTTAGTTCAAGTTATTTATTCTAAAATCAATATTATATTTTTTTATCTGATTAATCGATTGTTTTTTAAATAATTTAATTTGTTTTAATGTCATAGTAAAAATCTCTTAAAATCTCATAAGCATTTTTTGTAATAAATTTTAATATTTTTCAACAAATTAATTGATCATGATCTCTCAAAATTACCAATATTACATTATTTAATACATTTTATACAATCGGATTGTTACGTACTACTTATTTTAACTAATGATCAAATTTTAAAATATAATATCATTATCTAACTTATAATTTTAATATTATATGCATAAATATAACTTATAATACTCTATATTTAAAATTTAATACCATTATCTAACTTATAATTTTAATATTATATGCATATAAGTAACTTATGATAATTTATTATCTGTGCAAATGCACATGATCGAATACTTGTATTTATAATATAGAGACAAGTTTGCAATTAATTGAACTACTTTTCTTTCACATTCTAGTTCATTAATATGGAAAGGAGAGATAAAATACTTTTACTTATTTCAACTTGTCCATCATATATAATTATTTAATTTTGGACAAGTAAACAATATTATGATTATGATATGTTTTACCTTGTCCATTAGAGAAATTTTTGAATTTTATAATTGTAACTTTACATTTATCAATATGGTTCACAATTATTCTACAAAATTAATTTACATTCAGTTCAATTTATTTAATCCCAACATTTGAACATCGGAAAAGCCGCCATAAATTTGGAATTCATAGTAATGTATATATTTGATATGAGATACCTTACCAGGTAGAGTATGACCTAAGGAACGGTTCGACTAGACTGGGGTGGACTAGTAGGTCGATCGAACAACAAGGACACCGGAGGTCGAAGAATTACCATATCGATGGTGACCTCGCAGATAAGGGAGCTCATAAGCAGGTCGATCTAGGGCTCTTGGCTAGCATGATAGAAACTCGACTTGGAGGCAGAAGGACAATAGCGCGACCTAAGAGACAAAGTCCATACGCGGGAGATCGGAACAACCTGGTTCATGGGAAGCCAAGTTGGTCGCACAATTAGACCGTCTAATGAGGTAGGCTAATGGGAACACAACTAAGAGATACGAAGGAATATTATTAGCATGAGAAACACACGTGAATAAGACCATGTGACCTAATTGAATTGGGCAGTTTGGACATCCGGGCAGTACAAACGGGAAGCTCGGGCAATCGGGTGGCCAACAGGGTTATTTTGGGCAACAGTGTAACATTCATATAAATTAGTGAGGTATGATCACTTATACTCTACACATTCTTATATACTTACAAGCTATACAATTGTTCATCATCTTCCTCATATACTTATTGACTTGATCGTCAGAGTCTCTACGTCGGGACCACTCCAGACACTGTTTTCCAGGTCTATCGAACAGGTCGAGTGCAGATCCAAGGTTGCAGGAGTCGGTCGAGAACGTTTGTGTTGGGTTCTATATCCTAACAGTTTGCACACTAATATTTTTCTTATTTTTGTCCTGCAAAGATAGATTAGTACCTAATATGNATTGTTCTAAATAACATTAATTATATAGTGGAGCATGGTATATTTTCAATTTAAAATGATCTTAGTTTAAATGGTGACACACTAAAAAAAAAAAAATCTTTACAAACCCACCAAAAATTGTGATTCAGGTCCACAAATTTATTTTGCCAACAAATGTATTTAAAAAAATCATTTTGGAATACAATTTCCCATAAATGTCAAAAGTTGACCATGTATAGTATAACTTTGGAAATGAATGATTTCATTTAGAATTTAAATAAGGGGCATAATTAACATAGTAGTAATAAAAAAATATTGGATTTAAATGGGAGTATATTCCATATATTCAAGAACATTATAGTACTCACAATGCTTTGGATCTCTTTTTGCATATGTGGCAAATAAATAGACTTAAGTCCATAATGACATGGACAAACCCAAGTTAAAAAATCCAAAATCTATCCAATGCAAAAAAAAGTACTAGGTCTAGAATACCTAACAACCAATAAAAATATAATAATAGTAAATCCATACATAAAAATCTGTTTTGCCTACTAAAAAGAAAAAAAAATTTTGAACAATTGCTGACTTGGCAGGTTTGTACTTGGGTCCAAAATAGACCCAAGAGAGGACTGAGTCTCTTTTTTCCAGTGCCACATAAGCTAGATCATGTCTACTTTTTATTGCATTAGAATATATCTTTTTATAGACCAAGTCTATTTTCTACATGACACTTGAATTTTTTTAAAGAGACCCAATGCATTGTGAGTACTCTTATAGAGCGAAAGGAGTACCATTTTTATCTCGATTGGCCAAGAAGTTGCAACAGATTATAAAGTGCTATTTCTGGAGAATTCAATGTTGCATGTGAGGGCACTGCCCCCACATACTTTTTTACCTTTGATTTACACGTAATCACACACACCCACATGAATGTGTGTGAAATCAAAGTCTAAAAGGAGCAAGTTAGTATTTACCGTACATCTGGTAAGTTGGTAAGTTAAAGAACATTCGTGAACCTTACAAGTTACAACTATCTATGCAATCATTCAGGTTAGACAATAATATTGACTTTAAAGAAACGTGTAGTTACGTGTACTGACTATTGCAGTTACCAGAATTTCTTAGAATGGGTATTCAATAGAGCCCGTTGATGGTTTTCAGTAATATCGAGTTCTCCTAATGTTACTTAGTGCACTTATATTCCCAGGAAAATGAGATATAATACATTAAAGTGGGCCTAACTGATCATCATAAGGCAAGTGTCGCTAACATACGCAAAGCATTGATTAAGATATTCTTTTTATCCACAAACTTAAAAGTAGCATCCTTATATACTTAATCAAATACACATCAAACATTTATTTGAAAGTATATTTGATATGGTATAGAGAGTTCAATCATAAATCGAGACACTATATAGCTCAGTTCAAAATATAGCATGCTTATGTGCTTTATCAAAATACACATCAAACATCTATTTATGAAAGTATTTGATATGACATAGAGAGTTCAATCATGAATCGAGAAGCTAGTATAGCTCAGTTGAGAACTAGAATTTCATCAACTCAACTTAGAGGTGATAGGTCAACATGGTCGAGGTAGACTTCTGATGGCAGTAAATCGAGTTATCGATTTGGGGCTTCAGAAAGCTGAGACCTCAGATAGCGAGTTGAATCAAAGTAACACATCTAACAAGATGACAAAGATGTTAACCGTGGTATGACATTTAGCAAGGGTAAAATTATGAAGATCATGAGAATCTGCAACATATGGAGAGAGATCTGTCACAAGAAGGTATGCGTATATTCAATTTACTTAAAAAAGTAGAGCTCTTGAGGAATAAGGTAACCACTAATATATATATTATAAAAATGGAGACATGGTTATTGTTAAGGGACTGTAACGCCCCACTTTATTTTAAAGATTTGTCGAATTTAATTAATAAAAATCAGAGTTAATTTTTCGTAAATCTCAATTTAATAAAACTTAGTAGGCGCTACTTATTTTATCAAAAACTTTTATTCGAAAATGCCAACACATCAGATAAAGACACAATGCACGAATAATAAATCATAAACGAA